GGCTGATTATACTCTTCTGTCTTCTGTATAATCTGTGGGGACTCTCCCTCCAGACTGGAGGGCCTACCCCACTAAAACCCCCCCGGGTTTCCCTCTCGCCGGTTGAGTCGGCGCCGTGGGATCAGTGAACATTCACCACTGCTCCGGTGGTTCAAACTCGTCGAGTCTTCTGGCGAGACGATTCGTAATGACTCTAGAAAACAGCTTGTAGACGTGGCTCTGGAGAAAGATGGACCTGTAGTTTTTAAGTAGACATTTAGCTCCCTTTTTAAAGAAGAGAACTACTATACTCCTGTTCCACGCCTGAGGAGTTCTTCTACAGTAGATGACAGAGTTAAAAAGAGCCCCCGAAGTTCCTTAACAACAGGGACTCCTCCAGACTTCAGAAGCTCTGTAGTAACTCTGTCTTCACCCGGGAGTTTTCCGTTTTGAAGCTGTTTCAGAGCCAACACGATCTCGTCTTGGCTGATTTCTGGCAGTTCGTCGGAGCAGCACCTCAGAATAACATTGCAGTAGCGGCCCCATTTAAATTTGAAGAAAATATTCCACCTCTAAGGGTGGCAGGCGAACTAGGGGACGAATCCGTTTTCACACACTTTCCGGTAACCGATTTCAATAAAATTTGGCAAATACTTAAACACGGACCTTTGAGGTCAGTTTTTCAGTACTCTGTACTGAGATTATTTATTGCTTTACTCAACGGATAATATAAGTTGCGTTTGCCAGCTCGCATTCCAATACAATTGCTAAGAAAAAAAAAATTGCTAAAAACTCCTCCATCCTCTAAGTAAAAACCTTAGAGGATGGAAAATAGTCTAAGGTAAAAACTCGAAAGTGAAAGGCGCGTTTATCGTTTCACGACAGCCTCCTTGTCGTTTGCACGACAGAATCGTTTGATGCACTGCAGTCGCTTGTATGTTCTTATGGAAGCCCAACGCTACTGCAAAGCGAGCAGAGGGCGCGGGGTACGAGAGAGGAGGGCAGGGAGCAGAATACGTGCGGACAGCAATAAATGAAACGTGATGACAATAGGAGCTGCGACAATCTGTCGTCACGTTTTTATCGTCTGACGACTGCCGTTCTAGCTGTTCCCACTGTGACGACAGTTTGTCGTTGTAACGATAAAAAATCGTGAACGACAGTTAATCCTGTCGTGCTATATGTTAACAACTTCATTTAAATATACAAGTCACGACACTGCAAACTGCACGACAATATGTCGTCACGATATAGTGGGAACGCGCCCCTAATATTTCATAGATGGCACTATATTCTATGTGAAAATTGCGGCTCTTGTCATTGGTTGAAACAATTATAACGTGAAATACTTTCACATATTATTTGTAGCATTTAACGTTTGGTGCGAAACGCGAAATACCTGATTGGTTAATTGATGTTAAATTTCACGTTTGAGTACGCTAAGCGCTAATGCTATATTTAGCACTTAGCAAGTACTATAATTGTAGTTATGTTATAAATTATAATTTTGGTTACGTTTTAATACTAATA